TTGCCACTCTTCGACGCTCGTTGAAGAGCGTCCGGCTTTGATGGTGTTTTGATGGGGGAAGAGGCGCCTGTCCCTATCGCCAGCCGTCTGCTTTCGCAGCTTGGGGTCCGGCTGAGAAGAAGGGGTGGGCTTTGATGAATCACTCTGAAAAGAAGTCCAAGCATGAGTCTCATAAACAGAGTATGTGAAAACATTTCATTAAGAATAACCTTTGCATATTCATTACCTTAGGAGTGCCGCCTGGCGGCTGCTCATCCGCCTGTTTTATGTTTGAGCGGTAGAAAGCGGCGGAGAGGGTTGGTTTCTTGTGGGCAGGAAGCTTTGCCATTGTCTTATCTGCAACAAGAAACCAAGTGTTAGCAAAGAAACAAATAATCATAAGTAAGCAAAGGTAATAAAATCATGCGGCCAGGTACCTCTCGGCATTTCAGTACTAAGCCCGCAGGCGGCTAAGTACGTCCCGTCCGAGAGCCACTCGAATCGGGGAATATAGCTCTGGGGGGTGACCTCCTTAACCCCTGTCTCTTTGTTTGTCCGGACGGCCACAGAAAAGAGGCCCCGGTCAAAGATCTCCTCTTGGGCCCGCCTGGGAACAGGCGGAAGAGCCTTTTCCCAGCCAAGAGGCGAGGATACTGAGTCCAGCGGTTGTACCGCCTGTTCTTTTGGGCGTCTGGGGAAGAGACTATATAAAACTTGGTCCTCCAGTCCTTCCATTTGTTCTCTTTCCCCAGCGTCATCATGTACCGGGTATGGCTGGTCAACGTAAACCAGCTGATACCACTTGGATTGGGCGTTCTACTCAGATAGTGCATATGAGCAAACGCCTCAAAGCTGGGATCCACCTCCAGCATCTCGCAGGCGGCAACGTAGCCTAAGATATTTACCCAAGAGTTGGGGGCTAGTTGCCAGATACCCAGTTGGTATCCGTCCAAGATCCTCTCCACGGCCGGATGGAGAGGGAAGCGAAGTCCTCCCTAGATGGCCGCCTCATAGCAGCCGAAACACTGGTCACCATAAACAGCTATCTCAGGCCAGGTGACCGTGTCCTTAGAATCCGACACGGACAGAAGAAAACCATGTCCCATGACATGGGTAGAGAGAAATTTGGGAAGATCATCCGCCTGTCTTCCGGGACGTGCAGATAGTAGGGCGCACGTTCATGCCGCCTGGAAGCAGACGGCTCTGCCCAACCCTCTCCCTTCTCAACGGAGAGGGACTCTCTGGCAGCCTTTAAGTTTGACTGCGCCTCCTCTGAGTCAAGGGGGACGTAATTGGAAGACGATGACGCCGAGTCATCAGAACTCTCACCGGAGCTAGGGGACTGTCGGCTGTTGCCAGCAGTGTCCTCCCCTAGCTCATCATCCGACACCGATCCACTCGGCCCGGGGTTCTTAAATTCCTCGTCGCACTCCTCCAAAAACGAGTCATTTGGAGTGCTAACGGTGCTAGGCGGGTCTCTGCTAACCTCAGAGACAGGCACCCTAATGGAGCCATCGGAATTGACAGTCTCACTGTCCAAATGGTAAAAGGTATCATCCGCTCTATATCTCCTTTTTCGTTTGCTTTGTTTTGGCCATCGTGTCCTGCAGAGGCACAGACACTATCGGATTTAGAGATGTACTTAAAGCAAAGTTCTCGAACGAGCATTCGGCACTCCTAGTTCTAGATTCAGCCGTCCCCGGTGACCGGCTGATCGCTAACCTAGGCCGTGCAGGGTGCGTTTGGGAAACCATTTCGATAAAGAAAAATGCAAAAAAAATAAGTGAAAAGGGATCAGGCGGTTACCTTAGAAGAAGGTAACGAGAGACGTCGGTCTTGGGCGCTTGATGAGGTAGGCGAACTAAGGGGGCTGGCTGTCGGATGCTCTGGAAAGTCAAAGTCCTTGAAAGTCAGAAGATTCAAGATTCCTTGAAGATTCACGCAAATGTGAATCTAAAAGGAAGTCAAACCCTTCTATTTATAGAAAGGGTAAACCCTAATTTTTCCCCCCCAAAAAAATAATTTGAAAATCCGACCAGTCGGATGTCGACACCTGTCAAGGTGTCATGTGCAATGCACGTGACCCCTGTGAGGGGCAAATGATTTGGGTATTTTTATACCCGGCCAAGTGGCCCAATCGAAAGCCGCCACATGTCATTGGCAGAGGTGCCACCTGGACCTTTGAGATGGTGACACATGGTAGGCAGCCATCCCTCCATTCTAGGATGATTGATGATCCATAATGAACCATTAGAAGGGCGACACGCGTCACCCTAAGAGGCGCCTAAAAGCCTTTTGGGATCAGTGACACGTTTCACCCAGATATTGCTTCTGGAATGGCGGCCTTCAAGGGCCTAAACCTTGAGGCGCCGTTTTGCGGCGTGACCTAATACCTAGGTCACCAGATCCTAGGAAGGGCACACTTTTCCATGAGACCCTATAAATAGGGACAATTCCCTCATTTATTACAACACACACAGAACACGAGAATATTGTTATTTATTGTTATAACTTCACTTTCCTAGTACGGAGTAGTATTTTGTTGTTATTTATTGTTATACAATATTTTCTCATCAACTGAATTTTGACTTTAAAGGAGCGGGAATGATCAGAAATGTAGTCTTAAGCTTCAAATTTTACAATGAAATGTACAATGTTTTCTAAAAGATGGTCTCTACTCCATATAAAATTTTAATCCCTGCCTTTTATTTTAAACTTTGAAAAAGTAAAAAAATATTATTGAAAAAAGTCCATAAAACCAGGTTATGTTTGGCTTGAGAAACAGAAGAAAAGAATAGATTCCTGATTTCTAGCAGTCTAGCATAGTAGCACAGATTAAGGTGGTGGAGTGTTGAAGATGGATTCTTCTTTGTGAAAATTGCTCCCAAATGTTAATAGGATGGAAAATTTTACTTTTTTTTTCCCTCTTAGATGGTTGTGATAGAATCAGAAGATGAGGTGGTTAGATGTTGGAAAGTTGTGTTTATTACCAAACAAATATACTCTTCAAGGAAAGTTTTGCAATAGCTACAATAAAATTGTGGCTAGTGTAATTGAGGGAATCACAACCTTTCAATTAGCAAGACTAATCTTATCCATTCATTTAGTTGACTTTGATATTTAAAAAAAAAAAACCATATAACACCAGTAAATTAGTGGAAAGCTAAACGTCGCCCTCGAATATCTGACTAACGCCCGCAAAATAAATTAAAATTACAATCTTACCCTTTTTATAAAAAAAAAATAACCCTCAAACAAAATTACCCCCCTCCCCCAACAAAACCCTCATTCCTTACTCACTCTCATTTTCTCTCTAAACAAACCACCACCACCACATCCACCTCCACCACCACAACATCCACCGCCGCCACAACTATCACCGCAGATAAAAGCGCCGGAGCAGTGGTTGAGCGCCGATCTACACCGTGATAATGTCGTGGAAGGACAAAGGCAACTCAATCGCCGGCGGAGAGGAGGTTTGTGTTTTTTTTATTTTTTTTATTTTCTGAAATCCAGGCAAACGCCTGATTTTTTCGCACAACCATGGCTGAAATGCCTAGTTCGTGCGTACAGCCGTGTGGTTGTACGAAAAATCTGGGCGTTTGAGGTGAAACGCCCAGTTTTTTCGTACAACCACACGGTTGTACGCACGAACCAGGCGTTTCAGCCATGGTTGTTCGAAAAAAACTGGGCGTTTGCCTGGGTTTTTATTTTATTTTTTAAATTCGTTTTTTTTTTTTGGTATTGGGTTTTAATTGCTTGGCTTTCAATTTGTAAATTCGTTGTTGTTATTATTATTAAGAACTGTTTGGAAATTGGAAATTAAATAATCAACTAAAGTTCAAGATTTTTGGGTTTTAATCAACTAAAGTGAAGGACTTCAATTGCTTGGTTTTTAGTTATTGATTTTGGGATTTGTTAGTGTAGATTTAATTTTTGTAAAGCTTTAATTTTAATTCAATCATAAATGGTTTTAGCATCTTGTGTAACAAAGTAGTGAGATATCTATGCTTTGTGCTCATATATTCACACCCTATACATTTTAATATGACTTTACAATCGGATTATAAATATGTAGTAGTTAGTTGTATTGTGTTTGAGAAATGACGTTGTTGGCAATATTTGTACTCTGTATATAATGTATTTTCTTTAAGTGCTGTTGGATTGATTAAGAGTTATTATTGTTTTAGATATTAGCCTCGTAGATGTTCCAACCATTACTATCTATCTCGATGCCCGTATAGAATTTCTTGGAAGTTTTTTTTGAGAATTTTCGTGATGTTTAGTTTGAAGTTTTGTTGATATTTTGGGTGGTTTGTGTTGATATATAAGGATTAAATATGATTTCGAATTCATTTATATGAAAATACTTGTTGAGCATTCTTGATTCTTTTTCATTTTTCAGATTTTCATACTATAAGCAATGGTTATTGGCTGATTTTTATATTCCTATACTTGTTGATCCTTTTTTTTATCTACTATAAAGATGTGAGTAGGAAAATGGGTTTTGATTAGATTTTAAATGTTGCTTGCTCCGTTACTTCAAGATTGTCTTGACTTTACCCTACTCCAAAATTGACTAGAAAGATAGCTTTTTTTTTACCGATAGAAATTTTAAAATCGGCAATTTGATTAGTCTATGTGCAAGTTCCTTAGATTTCTCGAATTAATGTGAATGTGTAATGATAGTTTGGTTTCGGTCATTATTTCTTATTTCTTATAGTTGATGGTGATACTAGTATTATATCATTACTTTGTGTCGGCTAATGCAAGATTAACTAAGGAATAATGTAGAAATATTGTTTGTTGGATTTTGTTATAAATAATTGGATGATATGTGTACTAGTTTATTATTTGGTTAAAAGTTTGAATATTTAGTTGTTAATTATTAGAAATTTGTTGGATTTTGTTATAAATAATTGGATGATATGTGTACTAGTTTATTATTTGGTTAAAATTTTGAATATTTAGTTGTTAATTATTAGAAATTTGTTGGATTTTGTTATAATTAATTGGATGATATGTGTACTAGAGCTGGTGTGTGTAGATTGTTGAGTGAATGGATGGAGGGATTTACGGCAGACACTGCTACGCGGATACGACAGACTGGGTTGTCGCACCTGCCGAGCATTATGCACGACCACCTTGATTTTCCGCTGATTTCTGCTTTTGTGGAGAGATGGCAGTCAGATACAAACACCTTCCACCTACCTTTTGGTGAGATGACCATCATGTTGCACGACGTTTACCACATACTTGGTATTCGGGTTGAAGGTGATATGGTTGCCGAGGATCTATCTAGTGACCGGTATAGGACATTTGCAGCTGAGTTGTTACAGTTGGCTACAGAGGAGCTACAGGTCAAGACTCAGACTGCCATATATAGGAATGGTGGCATCCATACTGACCAGATTTTTGATAGGTGTCGTACTGTAGAGACTACAGAGGAGGTTCAGGTCATTGGTTACATGTGGGTCCTTTTGGGTAACACACTCTTTACTGACAAGAGCGGTTGTCGTACCCACCCTTCTTTTCTCACTGAGTTGTTTGTGGAGCATAACCTGGAGAGGTTGACGAGATACTCCTGGGGTTCAGCCACACTAGCGTACTTGTATCGTCAGCTCGGGCATGCCACCCGAAATGGATGTGATTCTATCGCGGGTTGTCTAACTCTTCTCCAGTCTTGGATATATGAGTACTTTCCATGTTTTCGGCCTCACCAGGGTGTGTTGACGCGAGACGTTCCATATGCACGTGCAGGGTTATGGGATGTTGGTATGGCGCGGAAGCATCAACAACGTCTCGTGTCCTTTCGTACTCGACTTGACCAGCTGGGTGACCATGAGGTATAAATAGATACGTAATACTATTTGTTTTACAATGCTTTAATTTACAGTTGATTTACTCTTGTATTAATTTGTAGGTATGCTGGTTGCCGTACGGAGCTTTTCCTGCATTACAGATGCCTAGGACTGCGTTTACTGGATGTATTCGATATCGAGGCATCATAGAGCCATATATGCCCGGTCGAGTTGTTCGATAGTTGGGGTTTATACAGGAGGTTCCCGGTGACATGATTAGGCCTGATGATGCTCATAGACCAGTTAGTGTTAAGTCTTATAGGGTCAGTTTTTCAGCTCAGATGACTACTCGCATGTGGAATGGTTTTGTTCCCGGTGCTGCGTTCAGTCTTCTGCTTGGTGGATATACTAGAGTTCCGCCTGGCGGACATACTTGTGCACCTAACTACCTATCATGGTTTAGGAGAGTTAGTCATCCTATCGTCACTCCTAATGTTGAGGATGATCATGGTCTTCCTGAGAGGACCAACGTTGATTACGTAAGTTTTTTATTACTTGTTTTTTTTATTTAATTTATTTTTCCTATTATTATTAATATATTTATAATTGTTTATGCAGTGGGTAGGACGATTCATGGTTACAACACAGCGATCACTTAGTGAGTACCCTACACTATCGAGAGACACCAGAGCAATGTTGGAGCAAGTGATTTCTGATTGGAATGCAATAAATGGACTTGCTGATTAGTTGTAATATTTATTTGTAGCTTGGACTTTATTTTTTTTATTAGACTATGTTTTGGATGTTGACTATGTTTTGGATGTTGTTAGTGGCCATTTAAGTTTTACACATTTGTTGGAAATAATCAAGTTGACATTTATGTTTGAGGTTTTTTTTTTTTTTTTTTTTTTTTTTTTTTTTTTTTTTTTTTTTAATAGACTGTGTACTTGCTTCACAAAAGAAATGCTTAAAATAAATTAAAAAAATAACCATGTTTATTAATAAAGTTAAAATAAAGTTGAATCAAAATCCACAACAATACTCAACGGTACTCAAGAGTTGATTAATGTCTGCCACAATTGAAGCCTTCTATCGTACCTTCTCTCCCACCCATTTACACTTGCCTGTCGAGCGTTAAACCACATTGGTGAAATTGGAGGTAGTGGGTGGTTATGTTCCATATGCAACCGAATGAAATGCGATCCACCAACAGCTCCAACCACAAACTCCCCAGAAGGCCTATCTAAAGGTCCACGATTGTTCAACGGCAAAACAATAGCAGATGGATAGTAGCTCGACGGTCTATTTCCTACTCCATAACAAATCACCACCACATTCCATAATGTGGCAATAGCAAAAAAATCCTGTTGTGCTAACATATTATTTAAATCGATGATCACCTGTATTAGATGGGGGTGGTCTACTTCTAGATCGATTCTCTCACCCACTACGTTCAACATGCTCAAAAAATGAAGGATCCCGCCTATTACGATTCTCGGGTGGTCGTCCCCTTACACGGGGGTTGACTCTAGGCTCCTGAAGGTCATCGTAGTTAGGATCCATCTCACCCTCAATAACTCGTGACACGTGCCTAAGCATCACAGGATCACTGGCAATAACCTGATCAACAAGGGTGCGGAAATGAGCTCGATCCTCATCATTTTCATCAACTATAGTAGGAATGTCGACACCATCTCCAATGACAAGGGTCCTCCAAAATGGATGAATATTCTTAGAATACAACCCCTTCCCTGCGGCAATCGAGTCATATATTTGGCACGCACAAGGTAAGCCGTGGGTAGTACGTAGAGCACACCCACAGCGTCGATGAATATCCGTACTCAACCCTCGCATTCTGTTTGTCTCACCGAGAAGAATAGACAGACAATAGTGGGATACCTTTCCGTTCAGTTGATGTAAAGGCTTATGCTTGTACTTCTGGCCATGACTTGTTCTACATGCCTCCAATCCATTACAAATGACTATGATCTTGTTCTCAATCGAGCAGTGCAATTGAGCCCAAACCGTGTCCAAAGAGCCTGTTGAACTGTCAATCCAACACTTCAATGCTGAATGCTGGCTCTCAACCCTGCAGTTGTTAACATTGCCAAAGTGTAGTACCTAGTTTGTCCAAAACAATACAAACTTCTCCTTGTGTACGAGCCAAGTGTCCATAACATATTCAATCACTTTCGGTCATCGACTCCACTTGGTTTTCAGCACTGCAAGTTCTCTGTTATATGCCTCTTCAGATGTAGCATTAATCACAAGCCTCCACCTCCCATTTTTGAACTTGGCACCAACCTCCTTTTTTTTCAAACATGGAAGTAACCTTCGCCTCAACATATTTGTTAATATGCCACACACACAACATGTGTCTTGTGTTTGGAAACACGCTCTTCAACGCTGCACAAATGCCAAGCTCCCTATCTATCAGTAGTACCGATGGCTCTCTATGATAACCGATCAACAACCTCAAGCACTCAAGCACCTACCGATAACTTTCCTGAGACTTTGACCTCATGAATGTGTATGCAACAAGAAAGTTTTGATTAGTCGGTGTAACCCCAACAATCTCAAAGAATGGCATGCCGTATCGATTCGTCTTGTAAGTGGAATCCATACCTATCACGTACGGGTATGTGCGAAGCAAATTTGTCATGATCGGGTGTGCCATGAAAGCATGTTGCAACACATTGTTGGAATCAGTAAAAACCCAAGTGAGGTATTTGCTCTGTCTGGCCAAATGAAGCACCTGGTGAACTACTTCTCTTCCTTCAAATTGCTCCATTCTTATTTTACTTCTGTAGTTGTAGACATGCCTGATGTTAGGATGGTCTCCGGGAAACTTTTCTACAAGAGTTCTCATGATATGTCGAGGTGACACCTGTGCCTGAGTCATGTCACGCACTACCTGCTTAGCAGCAATACTAAGACCACTAATTTGTCGATGTCCCTCGAGATAAACAACCAAAGAATGATTGTGAGTTCCGTTCAAGCAACTAAGCTTCCAACCATTTACTACTCTGACATACTCAACCTTGAGTTTGAAGGGACAATTGTTTGCCTTGCTTTTGGTGTCTTTGCGTATCGCGTTCATCATGTCTCTTATCATGCCCTTTTTTCCACGATCACAACTCACATATCGATACGGTCGACCACTCCGATCGGTCTTGTAAGAAGCCTTCACTAACATAAATCCGAGCGGTCGACAAACATTTTGTGCCCATAGAACAGCATCCTCAAAACTCGAAAACACTTCGTTTGTCAAAAAATGTCCACTATAGTCCACACCGTCACCATCCTCGGACTCAGAATCCTATATAAATAGTAATAAAAGTTAGAACCAAAGAAGACGACTAATAGTAATAACAACAATAACAATACAACTAATCATAAAAAAAAACTTTCAACCATAATAATGACAATAACAATAATAATAACAATAACAATAATAATAATAATAACTAATTTTAATAACAATAATAATTTCAAAAGTATAAAATCCATTGACAATCAACCAATACGTGAAATAAAAAATTAAAAAAAAAAAGAAAAATCGAAACCCAGGAAACGCCTAGGATTTTCGAATGACCTAGGCTAAAACGCCTAGTTTTTTCGAAACATCCTAGGATATTCGAAAAAACTAGGCGTTTCAGCCTAGGTCATTCGAAAATCCTAGGCGTTTTCTGGGTTTCGATTTTTTTAAAAAAATTAACGCAACGTACCGATTCTGATCGGTTCGACGAGCCTTCGGCAAGCGTCAAAGGTTGTGTTTCTGGTATTTCGTTGTTGTCCATAAGATCTAACGAAATTGATTTTGCAAAATTTATAAAATTTGTTTGATTTCACGGTGGTTGGGGTGGTTGTCCGATGAAGGTCGGTGGCCGTTCACCACTAGAGAGAGCGGTAAAAAATTTTGTGTCCAGTAAAAGTATGAAATTAAGGTAAAATTAATTATTTTTATAATCGTTATAATAAGGTTAAATACGTAATTAAATTTCATTTTGCGGGCGTTAGTTAGAAAATCGAGGGCGATATTTAAAAACCCCCGTAAATTATCCACTTTAATTCAGAAATATCTATTTAAGAAGGAATTCCTCTGAAATTTTTGATGAAAAATAGCTTATCTATATAATTTCTTTATCTATATTTTAAGATGATTGGAACTTGAAAATTGAAAAAAAGAAAAAACAAAAACCTATCGCACTGCTTTCAATTGCTTCTACAGAGTATTCATTTCTCTGTGTTTTGCCCGGATTATCTAATAATCTAATCCCAAAAGATCACATACAAACACATGTATGATGGTCTGATGAACATTTCCTATGTTCGACCTTAGAAATTGCAGTATGGCGACTAGCATCCTTATGTTTTTTTATACAGATAAACTATAAAAAATGGGAAACCGTTTTTTAATCATAGGTATATATGAAAGCAGTTTATTTTTCCCCTATTATGAAAAAATTCAAAAAGTTGGTTTAATGGACAAGGACAAGATTGATCCATAAAAAATAAAGGGCCAAGATTAAAACTAATTACAATGGCTACAATAAAAAAAGTCTTCCTTGTTAGTATCAATTCCACATCATTTATATGAGTTGACTTGGCAGTTTACCTTTAAATTAAAAAAATTGCATTATCATCCCCTTCCTCTCTAGACTCATGATACTCCTTTTACTCCATTGTTTACCATTATCTTCAAATTCATACCATACATAGCAGAAATTAAAACATTTAAATATGTCAAATTCCACCATTGATCATCTCTACTTCTATACCTTTCTTCCATTTTTTGTAATCTAATGTCAAAGTCCATCCAGGAAGATTTTTCAATGGATACATTAGTGGCCATAAAATTATTGTAGCCATTGTAAAATTGTCCATCCAAATATTACAATTATCAGATGACCAAATACATTACTGCTTTTCCCATAATACCAAAATTGAAGGTTTATAAGATCATGGTCAATCCCTTCATTAATGAACAAGTGTTATGCTTTAGTGATTATTAACTTTATGTTAGTAGTTATTTGACAAGCAGTTAATTTTCTTCTCCATAGAAACATGATCACCATTTTGTTTTCATTAATATAGTAAAGGTTTTAAAAAGATATACAAGTATCTGTTAAAAATTTGTTTACCATAAATAATCATGTCTATGTTGTGATAAAAAAGATTATAAGGCTAATTTGGTAAATACTCACAAAAAGTATCTTACAACAGTATTTTAAAAGGTGAT